ACTTTTCATCATGTATGCACAGCGGATGGACTACTATTGAAATAGCTGTCTCATATTATTTCGGGAGTTTTTATCAGTGAAAACGGACAAACGCCAGGTCTTTTAGTGTTTAAATTACAGAATATGCTGTAAATCGAGGCAACCTTTTCAAAAAGAGTGTTTCAGTGTTGGTGGGCACTGAATCGTTTGTTTATTCAAACCGGTTTCCATTTAGCGGAGGCAAGAAGGCTAACGTTACTTAGTCGTATACTGGTTGGTAGAGGACTGGAGAATCACGATCAGAAGTATTACTGTACATTATATTAACATTAATTTACAAACTCTTCTGACAGTAACTTGTAAATCCGTTTCGTTATCGATGGAAAAATAAACAAACGCATTACCCTACCGTTTTCTGTTGTTCCGCGTCGGTCACTATGCATAGTATTCTGCATGTTAAGCATAGCCTTCCGAAACTAGCGATAAGCCCAGGGTCTTTGCAATCTGGATAGTTGACACAGTGGTTCTACTGAAAAATATTTCTAATAATAAACGAACTTTTTATTTTACTTTTTAACTCAATATCTACCGCCTTCTCTTCAATTTATCAATCTTGTAAGATGAAACAGATTCTGAACTATGTATTTCTTGTCACAGTTGATCAACTATTATAACGTTTTCGTATAAAGAGAGCTATTTATGTCAGGATAAAATTTCAGACCCAATGTATGTAAAACCCACTTCGAAACAAAGTTCGCGCTGAATATGTTATCGAAAACGACCACTTGAACAGCAAGTTTTCTATACTATTTTAAAGTATTTATGCTGCATTTCCCATATGAAAATCGAAAATTGAGTGCAATGGTATAAAGTGTTGTTTTACAATCCACACAGTTCACTTATTACTTATTAGGTATTTGCCTGATTTAGCAGGCATTTATTCAGATATTCTACTTCTTATGAAATGTACATCTAAATACCTCAGTACACATATTAACTTAGTGAAGTAAACTTAAGGCTACACGGAATACTGTCAAGTGGAGAAGCATATTATTGCTAAAGTACAGTAATATTTTTTTTATTTCCTTCACATTCCCAGTGGAACATAGGGCTTCAAGCTAGTGGCTTGAAGTTTCTGTAGCAGTGCTTCTTTCACAGGATGGGGTTGCTAGCCTCATGCCCAACCTTTCGTCTGCACCAGCATTATTTCTGGCTAAGCGAGATAAAGGAGTGCGTCGGCCGGGGATCGAACCCCGGACCATGTGCATGGTCGGCGAGCGTCCTAACCAATGTATCACCGACGCACAACAATCTCTTGCGACCGCCGGGAGTCAAACCCGGATCGGCTGCTTGGAAGGCAGTCATGATGACCGCTACACTGTACTGCAATAATTAATACTTTTAAGTAGGCCATCATATATTAGGCTACTGTGTCTGCAAGAACTTGAATGATTTCGAGATGAAGTTGTTCACTAAAAAATTGAATGCAAGGTACTGCTGACAAAGAACATCAGGACTACCGTTACTCTCTTCATTATGTTGGTTCGCAGTACTGAAGCCTCCCAAAATATGACAAGCTAACTATTCAAGGGTTTAAGATGTTCAATCCTTCTACGACTAAATTGAACTTGTAACAAAATCTACTTTGAAAAAATATTTGTCAATATTTCTTTTCATTAACTGAAAATGACAGTCACCCATTGAGCAATTTAAACCATATATTATCTCTCTTAGATTTACATTTAAGAATGTCCATTATTTAACACACACACACAATGATTTAAATCTTCTATTCCATCTTGTTTTCATTTAACCTAATAAATGTCCGTTTTCATTGCTTTAAAGCTATTTTTAGTTAAAAACACACATACGAATCATTGTATTGTGCAGTGATAAAATTATTCAACAGAAGACTAACCAAAACTGTACACCTTTTTTTTAAATTATCTTGACTAAAATTCCTTAAGGTTTCCAAGTTTTTGGACACACTGGATACATCATTTCATTTTTTGAACTATTTACTAAACATGCTTCTATGAGATATTCACTTTTCTTTTTAACAACCAATCATAAATACAAAAAAACTATATTGTAATAAAAATTCTGTTGACTGCATATTTTGAAATTTTAGCCATCTCTAAATTGATTAATTTTAACAAAAACTTCACTCTGCTAGAAGCCAATGTTTGCAGTGAGATGTTTACAGTGGTCACGCTTGAAAAAAAGTTGATATTACGAATTTTCATTTCGAAGATAGTTTTAGAAAAAAATCTTATTTGTGTCCTCCTTTTAAACTTTATTATCAAATAATAACCCCTTAAGTGTTATAAGTTTTTAAACAGTTATGGACAAAAGATTAACACTATACCAGCAAGTAACTACTGATTGCGATAACCATGATCTGTTTAGAATGAAAACATCTATTCACTTCATAAGCCTACACATTTAACGATTGTAGATAGGTTGGATTCTAAGTGCATTATAAATCCTTTTATAGTAGTGAAAGTAATTTAATATTTACTATTGTCAGATATGTCCTTATTATATAGAGGTGGATATAAGCCTACAATTAAACTGCATACTTCAAGTATACTTTTGTTCTGAGAAAACATAGAGAAAATAGTTTGGGCAACTAATTATTCTGAGAACTTTAATATTTATGCCACATAAATCTTAATGCAATTCTAGATTTCACTTTGCAAATAAACCTTTTGTAATCTACCTTTCAGCAGTTGATATTTTTCATTCCTTATCTTGTCAGAGGAATACGAGGCTTCAGACATTGAGTTTTGAAGTTTCAAAAGCAGTGTTGGTTTCCTCTACTGGTTGACTCTGCTAGCTTCAGGCCTAACCTTCCTGCCTTTCCTATCTCAATACGGACAAGGCATGGTTTAAGAGTAGATCGGCTAGGAATAAAACTGAAACCACCCCCATGGCTGATGAGTACTCTAACAATGAACCAAACACTGAAGTTCATTTTTATTGTCTCATAAAACATGGGTATACTGTCTTATATAATTTAAGTGGGACGGACTATCACTTATTATCTCTGAATTGGGATTATTTATTCTAAATAATAATATATAGGCGACTTTTTTCATCTATCATCCATCAAACACAATGCTCAAAATAAAACTATATTATTTCTTTCTTTATCCCAGAACCCATCCCTATCAACGGGAGAAACTTGAAAGAGACTATTTCTATCACTTATCTAGGAAGCTTCGTTTCAGCCACAGGCAGAATGGACGAAGATGTCAAAGCCAGAGTCAAAAAGGCAAGATACACCTTCATCAATCTGAAATCGGCTTGGAAATCTTCTGAACTTCTCAGCATAAAGAACAAGATTCAGATTTTCAACACAAATGTGAAGTCAGTTAGTACTTCTCTATGTGTCAGGAACTTGCATTGAGTCACAAAAAGCAATTCCGATAGGCTACTACAGACTTCTATCAAAAGCTGACTTCACCCCATATTTCAAGATCGAATGAATAGAGAGAAAGAATTAGCTACAAGAAACTATGGGAACAAACTGACCAACAGCCTATCGTTCAACATATATGTTGGAGAAAATGGAGATGGATTGGGCATCCGTTGAGGAAACAGTCGAATGACATCGTGTGCTAGACAATCGCTCGAGTGGAATTCAAATGGGAAACAATGAGCAGGTCGTCCAAGGGTGACGTGGAGAAGATCGTGTGAGGAGGAGACCAGATATTATAGGCAATCGTGGGCTGAGCTAAAGAGGACAGCAGAAAATAGGAGAATGTGGAGATTTGTTGTTGGAGCCCCACGTTCTACTCGGAACCCAAGGGAACAATAATAATATTAATATCACAGTATCAGTAGAAATAAATTATTTCCAAATAAAAGAAGTCAACTTGAGGCCTCCACTTGATTTCTTTTGTGTTGCTGTTGTTTGTCTTCTTTTTTCTCTCACCATTTTAACTTCCACATGACGTTTTGTTTAAGAATGAAGAATATGCATATTTGACCATTTACAATGACAAACGATCTGCAAACATTATTGGTCCCATATCTTACGAGTGCCTCGTGAATTACGCATTACCTTTCCTCACGACGCAACTTAGAATATACCTTTGTACCAATGAAAAAGTATAAATTTTTAATACTTCATGACTGTAATTTGTAACATAACTGATCGTGCCTGTAAAAATTGCTTGCATTTCTTAAAAACACCCGTTTATAAGAAAACATAAACTGTCATTATTATTAGTCTACATTGAGTACAATTCACTTGTGATGTTACGATGAAAATGCTGATAAGACTATACAAGTGTATCACTTATTTTAAATTATTACCAAATTTCGATATAAATCAAGAGTAAGACTCGATGCCGAACACACCAAAGTTATATGGGGAATGACTTCAAGCTTTATTTTTTCCCAAGTATTTGTAATCCATCCAAAACATACTTGGGTTTTTTTGTTAATGCGAAGACAATATTTCTATATTTCTTAATGTGTTCCATTGAATGACTAGTTATCATATTGTTCCCACAAACCAAAGACAAAAACGACTGCAACCATATAATTTAACCATAAACCAAATTTATGTAATTTAAATAATACTCATCCATGCCTGTACAACTTGTGTGTCCTACATAGGTAGGAAAAAAATGTATTTTATTAAATTACTATTATTAAATATGTTTACTTATCGTATATGTAATTTATCATATTGATGTTGCCTGTAAACTGGCGTCCCTCGTGTACAAAATGAGAATATATTATTATTATTATTTTGTTGGCGTTTTGTTTTAACGTTTAACAAATACTTTAAGGCATTTGTATAATGTGATAAAACAATGAACACTGATACTGTCTGTACATGTTCATCTGAAGAATCAAGATGACACTGTTATCTACTTAAAACTATACTTTCCCTAATCTGTCCTACTCTGTATAAATACAAACACATGCATTCGTAGTATTTTTCATATCTTTTAAATAATAGAAATGACAACAAATTGTAAGCATGATAAAGCATGAGAACTTACTCGGATATCTTCTGGCTTTAAATACATAATACTATTTGCGGCAATATGATTTTTATCTTGATTTGAATGTAATCCGTAATAATGTTGATTATTGTAATTTAAAAGTTGATGAGTGTAGTTATTCGTACTGTTGTTGTTGTTGTCATTATTGTGATTAATGTTGTTAAAAATGCAATTATTATTATTACTATTTTTAGTAAGATCAAAGTGAATATTACCAAATAATTTATAAATTCCAGAAGCAATAAAAACTTTCTCTTTACGAAACAATTCATTTACAGATCTTATTTCACGACCAGTTAGTGAATATAAATGTCTGATCGGATCATTATGCCAACGTGCACCGAAGGCTTCGCTTAGTTCACACATAACTTGACCCAGGGTATGTACAGCTCTACGAACCATAATAACCTATAATATAAAAATAGTTTAATGTTTTATAAATACTGAAACATTTGATTGCGTTAACGAAAGTAAAGTAAGATTCTTCCTCATCTTGATGTCAATCACCAGCCAATGGATTTTTTAACATAACAGTTAACAAGAATAAGAATGTGATTTCATCTATGGTCTGTTAACAATAAAAACAATAATTTAATTGAATTTCAGATTTCCTTATCGATTGATTGGACCGAAGTGCTCGGTCTCAGGTTGACATGTCAGCTTCTTGAGCAGATGCTTCGATGATGTCTAAGCATTTAATTAGTATTCAATTGGTGGAATGCGCATTCTGGATTCCACTGCTAATCACCATCCACAAACTTAATGCCCAGACATCGTCGAAGTATCTGCTGAAGAAGCTGACATGTCAACCTGAGACCGAGCACTTCTGTCCAATCAATCGATGGGAAAATCTAAAATTCAATTAAATCAATATGACCCGTTGCACAAGAGGTGGTTCTCCTGGCCCAAGTGGTCTAGTAGATAACACTTTGTCGTTTGAAACTATGGGCACTGGGTTCGAGCCTCGATAGGAACATCATCACTCACTTAGAAATGCATGTACATCCAGCTGACGAAATAGGATGAAATGTGCATCCTGGATTCCAGTGATAGTCACCATCCACCAATTAAAAACAATGTTTATAATTTCAATATGACTGCTAGTGAGAACATTACAGACAGCATGATAATAAAGGCTAATGTTTTAAAGGAGCAAAAATCCTGTTGAAACACTTTCTAAGTCTAACATTTGAGAATGTTTTTCCCTCCGATACTCAGGACTCAACTCATTTCTAGTAGATGAATTTGGATTTCGTCAAAATATAGTAAATTTCTTCTAGTGTCTTTTCTGCATATAACTGTTGTCAACGAAGCGTAATTAAATGAATCCCCCAAAAACAACTTTTTATTTTACATAAAAAAGATTTCTGATATAACTGGATTAGAAACAATAACTGGCTGGAATGGTGAAAATTCGCTAAAGTGACAGTATTAGCCTTAGTGAATTTGCTCGGTTGGCTACAAGCTAAATTCACAAAGAAATCTGCCATCTGACAGGAAACCTCACCAAGCACATTTACGCTGAAAATTCATTCAATCCTTTTCCACACTATTACTTTTCGTTGCATTTCATTAATTCGTTGACTCTTATGGTCGCTAAGTACTACTGAGAAACCCTATGCAATAAATGATGGATAACTCTCAATTAACCCCTCTTTACATCACTTCTTAGAGAGAAAACACTCATTAAGTGCAATGTTATTTCACCTTACTAACTAAAACGTTCATAGTAGGTAATGATTCTTGTGATTCCTCGATTGAAAGATAAAATACCTAGACTAGCCACTTCCAATTGTATCTACCAATTCAAGTGTTCTTGTGGAGCGATTTATACCGGCCGTCTCTCTAGGAACTTGATTTTTCGTGCTTGAGAACATCTCCCAGTATGGCTAAGTAAAGGCGTAGTGAAAACTATCAACAGTTGGATATTAGACCATCTGGTCCGAACCGGCCACAAAGCCAGCACTGAAGAATCATTCCTATCATCTACCGGGTAGCAAATAAATTGCCAAAAACACCGAGATACCGCACGCTTCAAGCAGCAGAGGCCATCGCAATTCGCATGAAACTACCAGGGCTTTATGTGCGAAACAAGCAAGTCCAGCCACCACTACTGCCTTGGCCTTCAGTAAAGACTATAAATTCATGAATTTGTATTATTATCTTTCCTAAGTTTTCTGATATTCAGTGTGTATTGTTATGTTGATACTACTGAACTGTAATCTATTGATATTATTGATTCAATGTTATTTAAACAACATTAATGTTGTTATTAACACTAATCCATTCACTATAATGTATATATATTTGTAGAACCTGATGAAGAAGGGGTTATCGAAAAGCAGATCCTTTGTTCAGTAACCATTCTTTTGAAAATTCTGAAATATACATATGACTTTTCAATATCTACAGAAAAATACATTTGGATAATACATTTAGATGTGAACCGATCAAAAGAAAGTATTCAACTTATAGGAGTATCAGAAATTAATAAATAATCACCACTAGACACTAATAAAAACATTCCACAAGTTGGCTGATAACAATTGGCACACTGCTTAATTTAAATCAAAAGGTCAAAGCGGATATTGAGTGTGCTTTCCAATAGTGTTGTTCTAACTTTCCTCTTGAACATAAATTTATTTTGGTTTTCTGCAGCATTCCTGTTTTTATTGGCTTTACATTCAGTCTTATCTTTTTTTATTCAATGAATTTGGTGTAGACAAATGTCCAGCGAAACATCTAACCGAATGGTTGAATCAGGCATTACTGCCGGAGTAAAACATCGTCTGTACCACCTACTGTAATGTCAGGTCAACATGTCATTATCTAATTCACTACTTTGCATAATTCGACCTAACTATGGGCCAGTAAAACCCTAAGTTTTGGTTTCAGCTTGGTAACCAAAGTGGTAAACACTAAAACTAACTTCAAATACTTTCTACTCATTGTTTAGGGGAAATAAACACTTAATTTCTTCCAGCAGCATTTTATTCTAAGTAATTCTTAGTTTACGTATAACATGAGTTTCAGAATTTAATCCACCTGCGTTGCATGGCAAACAAAACTTTTCTAATAACTATACTTATTATCTCTCCTCCATGTGTTTTAAGCAGGGCTGTCTCGAAAGTATCAGAAAAAACCTACAAATTGCCTTAAAATGACGAACATTACTGCTAAATTTTCTTCCTGGCAAACTCTGATGGCTGAATGTTATAGAGCCTATACAGTCTTTGATATGGCCAATTAAACACTCCCTACAATTTCATAAAAACACCTACTATCACTAGAAGCCATACACCATTATTTAAGTCAACAAAGTCTGAATGAACCAGAGACCTATGAGTATAGAAATAAATCTGCAGAATATTGAACACTTACTTATGACTCAGGAAGAAAGGGGTGACTAACAAATAACTTTCGTCAGTCGTCACTGAATGAAGTCTTTATTCACTGATTAAAAGTATTCTCCAGGAAAATATCAGTCAATACTGTATCACAGTGGATTACTGGTAAGGTCTAGACACAGCTATGTTTTCAGAAAACGGTCGTTACAATTATTTTCTTGCACCTGGGATATCCAAAGGTTCAAACCACTAGTCATTTTGTACTGAATGTTACATTTATATTCTAGCAACATAACTAATTATCGCTGTTGTTGATTGACCCTAAGCACACATCTATTAAACTTTACACAAAATACTGATAGTAAAGATTTATTTTATGTGAGAAAGGTGAAATAGCGAAAGTGTAACCTTTTCTGAAAACCCATCACATCAAAAAACTAATAATTTCTACTCTTCATTGTTGAATGTGTTATTTTCAAGTAGAGTTTGTATGTTTCCAACATGAAGAAATACCCAACTACTATCATTCCGCCAATACGGATACATGTGCTGCTGCTATAATAATAAAAACTGGATTTCAGTGTGTTGAATGTAATTCATGACCTAACGAAGAATTCAATTAACGATCTTTTAACCAGCACTAGCCTATAATTTTCCATATAAACCAATACAGTGGTCGCCGAAGACTAATAATTGGTGGAAGACCGGTTGCGTAATGGATGATTAATCGTATAAAGAACCGTAATAACGCTATTTATCTAGGTGCTGACGTCTCCCTTGGTGTAAGAAAGCTGTTATTTTTGGAATATACACAAGAGACATCAAATATTTAACACAGTATTATCTACAAGGTCAAAAGAAGCCTCCCGAAAACGGTAAGCTTCCGTATACTTTGCTGAGGCCTCAGCGATGCGGATAGAAAACCCTGATTTATGTACACAGAAGAAACTTCTCCACCTCGTCCTTCTACCCTAGGTATAATTCCAAGTTCTACTACTTTGCTAATAATACTTTTCTGGATTTTTGTATGACTACTTAATAACATCTTTTTCTGAACCAACCCTTTATTTACTCTTTCTACCCATTACATAATTTATTTTGGACACGTGCCTCCATTAACATCCTATTTCATATTACGCAACTCTTGTCAATACTTACTAATCTTCACCTCAGTTGTTACAGTCTGATTATTCATCACATTTTGGAAACACTATGATGGCGTAAACAGTGACCCTAAATAATTTTTATTTTTGTTTGACAACTACATTTGAAATTAAAATTTTCGTCACACAACTGCAACACGACCATTTTTCTTCAAATATGAAAGAGAATTAATTAAAGACTGTGAGTCACTTTGATGGCCAACCACTTTTAGATGACTCGGTGAAATGGTTTTCATCAACTGTCATGAATTGCCGGGGAAGTTTTAATTCTGAACAACAATCTACTGTATAGAAACTATTCATGAAGAGATCTATAGTTTAGCGATTCTCGACTTTACTTAAAGGAAATGTATCAGCAAGTTGTATTTTACTGTGTTATAACCGTTGTTCAGAGGCGTCAACAAGCCATCTAGAAAAGATACAGAATTTACGTTTTTCTAAGGCAACATTAAGGCCAATAGGAACATCAAAACTAATACCTCTTTCTGTAAAACATAAAAATTACTTTGTTTATACCGAAGAGTTAGATATGTTCTTTATTCGCATGTTTAACAATTTTCAATACATCGAATTGAGTATATCTAACAAAAGATGATCTCCACTTACAGTAACACTTGTTCTTCCTTTACCGTCTGGATTACAGCGTACCACTGTTATCTTGCGTCCAGCACATTTCTGATTATCACGGGGTAATAGACGTAGTAATTTTGTTATTTGCGTTGTTGGTTCATTACTAACTGTTTTATTGTTGTCACTATAACAGAACTCTTGAGCTCTTTCATTATTGTTCTTTGATTTGATAGCTATACCAGTACCAGCGTCTGAATTCAAGTTGTGTTTTATCGATGAAATAAAGTGTAGGTTTGTGTAAGCATTACCACCAGGATGACTGATATCACCTAAGGATAGTCTCGAAGGTTGATTCGATTTACAGAATTCTCTCACTTTTGGTCTTTTAAGCAATGAATATGTTTCACTCAGCTGACTCATTTGTAATTCTTTATCTGTAACAAATATACAATTACAGTATTAGGAGTTAAATAGTGATCACTTTTTGAGAGACAAAATACACATGTGTGGTTAAAAAGTGATCTCAAAAATAAATTACATTTACGATACACTTACCAACTATAACAGACTTTAAATTAACTTTGACTTAAACGTGAAATAACCTAAATATTGGTAGATAAAAAGACTTCATTCGATCTCCGGGAGTGAATTATGTACAAATCAGAATCTCCACAGATGTTTCAGCCGAAATTAAAAGCGAATTTTCCCTTAATCTTCCAAGTATTAACTAATAAATATTTCATTTCTGTGTTTGATTTTGTTTTAAACAAGTAAGCTAGTAAACTAACTATATTCCTCTCCCTAAACTTTAATGTTTTGTCATTTTTGCTATAGAGATCCAGTTTACTGCAGCAGTTTAGAATTGATCTAAATATATCACATCTCAAAAAGGTATGCACATTTGACTGTAGTGTAGAAGGAAAGGAGAGAGACCAACGAGTGGCACACCTGAGAATTCACTTTAATTATGTTAATATTTCTAATAAAAATCCACCATATGCTACTAAGAATGGTAAGTGCACAAATAAATATCCGTTTACTTTAAAACCACTGTTTTGGATTTACAAAAGTGTTATCCTTAGGAAAGTTACTGACACCTCAGAAAACAGTGTTTTTTATTACATTTGCCATTATCTGAGTAGTTACAATGAATCTTAGGGTAAAATGAGGCAAGATTTGATAAAATCTCAAAAGGAAGCATATGGTCGCTTATAATAAATACATGTTAATAGTAATTGTAATAAACTATCGAAATGATTACTGCACATGTAAAAAATAGTTAGCGATTGTAGTAAATAGAACCTTAAAAGTAAAAATGTAAAATATTAAAAAGATGTTGAAAAGTTGCAGTGTGCGCTAAAGATGTCTTGTAAGACAATGAAAGTTTCTCAGCTAAACTGAATAGCTGAAGCAGTATAGCTGCACCGAAGCCATCCACCTGAGCTACAAATCTTCTCCATTTCACCTAAATATATATATATATACCCCGACGAAATTGGAGATGGACCGGACACACTCTGAGGAAACCATCGAATGATATTGCGTACTAGGCCCTCTGGTGGAACCCGAACGAAAAAAGATAAGTGAGGCGTCCGAGGGGGACATGAAGTAGATTGTGAGAAGAGGAGATGAGATACTATGGGCAGTCGTAGGGGGCAGATGGGGAGGACTGCAGAGGATAAGACAAAGTGGAGATATGCTGTTGAATCCCTACGTCCCATTCGGAACCTGAGGGAACAATAATATATATATATATTAGTAATCTCAGAGAAGATTTTCAGAAGCTATTACTCCAAGAACCATTCAATAATACAAATATAATTTATTTATAATCCACATTCAGCAAACAATAATGTCAGTATTAACACTTTAACTACCGTTGGGAATTCACTTATTTTGATGACGTGAAATATTCACCTCATAAGTCCACAACGCATACAAACCTAAAGATTCCATATTTATATAAAACTAAAGATTGACAGTACAATGTAAAACCTTGCACAGATATGCACCAAATCAGCCTGCCACAATTTGCAAAATCAAACACATGAAAGATTGAAATAGTAGCCTTTAATACCACAATCAACAAAATTACGTTGCAGAAATAGTAATTAGGTGAAACGTAGTGAAGCCTTCAACCTCTGACTCTAAGTATATGGAGACCCAATAAAAATAACCCACACTTTCCTACAAGGTTCATATCAGCGATCAGTGAGTCCTCGCATCAGTGAACTGTTTTCAACTGACCAACTCTAACTTTCTTCTTAACTCGACTAGTCGACACACTAGAAATATTACGTCTTAACATACATAATACATGCTGCAACCAGTTCAATAGACTTAGACTCACCAGTCAATAGAATAACCTAACTTCATTTACAAGAACTCTGCATTTTATTTCAACGTAACTTATCCTGTCACTACAACTTATTTGAGAAATCTAACGAAGAAAGTTACTACCAAAACCTACAGCATTTACTTATCTCCTATTTTCCGAGAGTATTTCTTATAGAGTTTTAATTTGATTGTACTTCAATAGTCAACTGTCTGCATACTGCATCTTTTCCGAAAGAACTGAATGAATAAATGCAGAGGAAGGACATCATGTATGGCATTCATGAAATACAGTACTTATGTTATTGATAGCAGTTTTCACCAACTTTATAAGCCTAAAATAAATTATAGACAACTAGGAAATTGTGAATTTAAGACAAATCATAATTCATTTTGTTCATCAGTTTCAGGTAACTTTTAAAACAACTCGCTTACTCCTACTACATTTTTGCACAAAAAACTCAGCTTCAGTTATTTGAAATTGCTTACTCATGCTTGCCAAACTGCTATATATATATATATATATATATATATATATATATCCTATTAATGTGAGTAAATTTAGACATTATTTTGGCACTATTTAATTTATCGACGTAATTCTCATTTTAGAACCTATTTTTATTACAGGAGAAATACGACTTGCGTAAACTAAAGTCATATACATCAAGCGAATGTGATAATGTAGAATGCATTGTCAAGTTGATGAACTCTAAACGTTTCATTGCACTGAATTTTTTTCAGTGATGGCTTAAATGTCTACCGTAAAATAAATCAAAACAGTACTTAGAACAAATTTAAATCTTTGGATAATTTACAAGTATCTGAACAGGCGTTCATTACTTTTTTTTAAAATTGATGGAATACATGAGTAAATAAAATATATATTAAAACTACTCTACTTTCTAGTTTTCATTTGTTCAGTGGTACTACTCTATACTTCCATCTTATTAATGTGAGGAGAATAATTTAAGTGTCATTTAGTGTAAGAGTTGAAGGTGAGTACCCTATGAGTGAAATATCACTAGGAAAAGGAGATGAGTTTCACTTTCCCTAATGTAACTTTAGAGCTGACATAAACAAATGCCCCACAGGATTTCTTTTTTCTACATTCCTTCACGTTCTGAGTGGAACACAAGGCTTTAAGCTTTGAATCTATAATAGTGTTGGTGTTGTTTTACTGGTTGGGGTTGCTGCCTGCACAAGGGACCTGTCCTCTTTTCCAGACTTACTGTCGGTTAGTAAACTAGGTGAGTTTTAGGAATGCATCGGCTGGGAATTGAACCCTGAACTACCTGCTTGGTTAGTGGACATTCTACCACTAAAGCACCGAAGCACATCTTCAAAGGATCATTGGAAAATAATTCTATCGTATCGGTGTGCACAGATCAATATGATATCATGAAAACTGCATTTCTCGCATCACATGCAGTAAACCTTGTCTCGAAGTAGTCAAACCTCAAGGATAACCTTTATATATTTAGCAATCAAACTAAAACGATTGTTATCAAGTATTGGTTTTGTAGGGATTTTTTGTTTCATTGCATGGAGGATTTCATCATGAGCTGACATCAGTTAGAGAACCACTGGAAAACCTGGGAGTACTGCACAGTAGTTTCGTCCTAGTTTGGGACTCTTCATCGGTACGCACCCACCGGGGTTCGAACCCAGGACCTTCTGGTTACAAGGCGAGCTCGTAGACCATTGAGCCACTGGGACGATTATTACACGAAAAACAGTTGAATAAAGTCTATAATACATATTTTTTATAAAAATATAATAATTATTCTCATATTTACTTGAATACTACTTATCAAAATACTTTTCACTTGAAATAAAAAGAATATTATCATTACTGATGAGTGAGTGAAAAATATGAACTTATTTTCATTTAATTTGTAATATTTTATTGATTCTATGTATTTTTAATTTTGCTACAGTGACCTAAATTTTAGTAATAAAAAATGACAGATGAATTAACACTTCATGTTGTATACAATACAATGGATTAAGATATAAGTACGTTCATTTATCTGCATCACTATCATACTTAGGTGTGAATCTGTCAACATTCTTTACTATTTTGAACAGATTTTAATATTTCTGTTATTATTATTATCTGTTTTGGTTTTTGTATATTCAAGAGATCTAATATATTGCTTTTTACTTTTAAGCGGTTAAGTTAATATGATGAATTTCTTAATGATAATTCAACAAATCAAGTTAAAAATCATATTCAAAAGTACACTATTTGCGGAACTAACTAGTTAACAAACGATATCTATTCAGCTGCATTTAAACAGAACGATAAGTCGACCGACGTGAAGAATCTAGAAGACCTGGATTTCGCGGATGATTTATGTTTGATGTCACACAAGATCGAAGACTTACAAGCGAAAACCGACAAACTGGTCGAAGAAGCAGCAAAGACAGGACTCCAGGTGAACATAGACAAGACGGAGGTTATGAAAATAACCAACCAACAACAACAGCAACATCCAGCGCCAATCACCATCAACGGGAGGGATTTGAAAGAGGTTACTTCATTCACTTATCTAGGGAGCATTGTCTCAACTACAGGAGGAACGGACGAGGATGTCAAATCGAGAATCGGGAAGGCGAGAAACACATTCATCCACCTAAAACCAATCTGGAAATCTTCGTCACTCAGCATCAACAACAAAATTCGGATTTTCAATACAAACGTCAAGTCAGTTCTTCTATACGGATCAGAAACTTGGCGGGTCACAAAGAATATTTCCAACAGCCTGTTGCAGACCTTTATCAACAACTGTCTTCGCTCTATACTGAAGATCAGATGGCCGGAAAGAATCACCAACAAGAAACTATGGGAACAAACAAAACAAGAACCAATCGCCCAACAAATATGCAGGAGAAAGTGGAGATGGATTGGACACTGGCTGAGGAGGCCGTTGGGTGACATCGCGCGTCAGGCCAATGCTCGAGTGGAACCCGAAAGGGAAGCGGCGAGTGGGACGTCGGTGCAAGGGTGACATGGAGGAGATCGTGTGAAGAGGAGTTGAAACAGTATGGACTAACATGGATGCAGGTGAAAAGTACGGCAGAAGACAGAAGCAAG